TGTGTGTGTGTGTGCGTGCGTGCGTGTGTGTGTGTGTGTGTGTGTGTGTGTGTGTGTGTTTCTTTTCCCCTCGTAGAAACGTGAGTAACGATGCTAAATAAAAGCTACTCTTAACGTGTGTTTTCCTCCCCTCGTAGAAACGTCAGCAACGACGCTATCGTCGCGGAGGGATTTCTGTACGCCATCAAAGACCTGCGCCGCATCACAAACATCCGGTTTGGCGCCATCGCCATTGACGACTGCTACAGCCCGCTGCGCACCACCAGCCTCCTGTCGGACTACTTCTCCGGCATCGTGCCCACAGACGCCGACCTCTTCCCGTTAAAGCACATCCCACGAGACAAGCTGGTGGGCGTGGTGGCCTGTCGCTCCAGCGGATGTACCATCCCGGCTGCCAGTTTCTTCATGCCTCTCAACGTCCCGGTGGTCTCTTACGCCGCTAGCACTCCTGACCTTGACGACAAGGTCAACTACCCTTACTTCCTAAGGACTGTTCCCAGTGATGTCTACCAGGCCCAGGTGAGACATTCATTTCTATCTCAGAGTCTGTAAGCCCTCCTACACATGTGGTATAGTGTGGATTTAAACTCCCATTTAATTTCACATTCAGCTTAAGTAGAGGGCTGCGCCTCCTGTATCAATCTGCATGGGTTGACCTTGACAAGCAGGGTCGAAACAGCCCGCCTCCTAAATGTTTATCTTTTCCTATCTAATCTTATCTTATCCTAACTTGTCTTATCTTATCTTAAGTGATGTAAAAGATGTTGAAAGAGATGGTCTGGTAGTACCTTTTCTCATTTTGTCTTGTCTTAGATAATGTTACCTTTTTTCTTGTCTTTTATTTCGTCTTGTCTCATGCTAATCTTATCTTATCTTCAGGTGATGTTGAACATCATGTAGGAGATGGGCAGGGAATGTCTTATCTTGTCTTTTATTTCGTCTTGTCTTGTCTTATCTAATCTCGTGTTGTCTGAAGTAATGTTGAGCATCGTGAAAAAGATGGACTGCGAGTACTGATCTTAGATCTATTTTGTTTTATCTAATTGAATCTTACCTTGCCTCCTGTTACTTCAGGTGATGCTGAACATCGTGAAGGAGATGGGCTGGGAGTACGTGGGTCTGCTCTACGTCAGAAACAACTACGGTACAAAAGGCATGCTCTCCTTCAAGCAGCTGGCCATGGAGGAGGGGTCTGGCGTGTGCGCGGCTGAGGAAGTGGGTATCAGCGAGCAGCAGTCACAGCTGGACTCGAGCGAGTTCTTCGACGCCTGGAGGAAGTTTGTGGAGCAGGACGTCGAGGTGGTCGTCTTTTTCGGGATAGACTCCAGGTAATTGCAAGCAGTAACTGTTGGTCTGAATTTTACTACACAACCACCCCCAGGCTCCCCCCTCTCCACCAAAAGAAAACGAAAAACAACAAAGAACAATAAAAAACAAACAAACAAACAAACAAACAAACCACCACCGCCGAGATTTTAAAAAATCACACACACGAAAAAAACATGGAACCAAAACAACGACAACAACAACAACAAAAGCAATAACAGCAGCATCAGCAGCACCAGCACCAGGGGTGGTATACTTTAGTTTTACCCTTTTTGTTTTAGTTAAATGTAGTCCCAAGGTTGTGGTAGACGTGCCATGTCTCTCCACCTAGCCGGTCTATCCTGTTACAATAGCATACACTTAGCCAGCCTTATTCTCCTGCCTATTCTTTTTAAATACCTGCCGTATTTTTTAAAAATCCCTCATCCCTGAGCCATCGCAAACTAATTCAACACTGATTTTTCAGCTTGAATGACAGCAGAGATTTTACTCGCTTTGAGATGAAAGCATCTATTTAGTGATGGGGTTTTCTATGGGTCGATGGTAGGGAAAACGCTTCATGTGTTCAAATCGATGGGTGACGGTTCTGTCAAGATTTCGTTTACTTCGTTATGGTGACCGATTTATCGATTGTTTGCACACCAGGTGGGCAATGCTTTACCAGCCGCAGCGATTTTTTTCTCTTGTTATACTGTATTGCTAGGCCATAGACACGTAAGCATATCCATACGAACGTGCACACACACACACACACACACACACACACACACACAC